GTCATTGGTGGAATAGCGTTGTCTGAAAAGTGCATGGAGAAGAGCGAAAGTTGAGGTAGGGCAGGGCTAGAAGGCACCGGTGGAGGGGCAGCCCACCACTCTGCCCAGACCTAGTTCAGCACCCTTATCTATACTAAGAGGTGAAAGCTGTCCTCACCTCATCTGTGATTTGTATAATCTTGGTGACCCCCTGTGGAGCTACTCTGGTTTTGTCTAGTGTAGGTTTGTGTGTGGTACTTGCGTGTTTTATTGCTTTGCTTCTGTTGCTGGTGGCTGCTATATAATGACTGTTTCTGTGCAGAAGGCAGGATATTGATATTTTTCAATATGTTCTCTCCTAAGAATGTACCCTTGTCTAATAGCTGTCACCCAATAGAGCTCCCTCTGGAACGCTATTCCTAGATTTCACTTGCTCCCTCTCTGAGGCTGAGGTTTGTGAGAGGCCCCTTTCAACCTTGCTGCTCCGGATTTAGTACGGTTTACCCATGTACCCCGCCCCTGAAATAGCAGCACAGTTCTGTGTTAAACACATAAATAGTGCTTATCTTTCTCAGCCAGTTTATCATCCTCATCCAAGCAAAGCATGTAATGTTTCTGTTTGGCTCATGATCAACTCTGCAACATAAAGCCACCCGGATAAGCTAAATGGTGATTCACCTGGTGGATTCACTTGTGGTTAGTTTACTCAAGGGGAGGTGGAAAAGGGAACGGGAGAGGCAAAGGAGGCGATCAGTAGGTAGACCAGGGATAGAGGGAGGAATTCTGCCAGGGGCAGTCTAGAGCTTGGAGCACTTGCTTTGTCTGAAGAAGGTCCCAGGTTCAGTACCCCGATCCCCAGGTAGGACAGAGGTGAGATGGACCAGTGATCAGACTAGGTGTGAGGAACATTGTGTGTTCTTAATGGGAACCAGAACGCCTTGGCGATACCTTGGAGAGCTAGCTAGAGTCACAGAACAAACTTCTGAGAGAATCAGAAAGGGTTGCCGGCTCAGTGGCGGAAGATCTGCTTCACCTGCAGAAGTGCCCCAGGTTCGGTCTTTGGCGTGCACGGTTCCTGTCTGGAGGTGGGCGCTGACAGTCGTATAGGCTACTTTGAGCTAGGGAAACCAGTGGACTGGGTAGGATGTAGCCTCCCAGGGACTGGAATAAGGCATGGCTTGGAGCTGGAGGTGAAAACAGAAGGGTGTGTGTGGGAGGAATGAGCAAGGTCGAGGAAATCCACTCTCTCTCTGGGATGCCCCAGGGAGAGAATGCTTGCGTTTTCTGCAAGAGATCTCAGACTATTCTCCTGGATGCTCCTCTGGATTATTAAGGAAGCAAACAGTCCAGCATCAGTACTGAGCACCCTCTGGTGGGTGATGTGGCCCTAATGCTTCAATGGGGCTGACCAGTGTTGATGTCTCACCTCAGCCCTCAGCTGTGCAGGCCCAGTTTGATTTCCCCCTGAAGACTAACTCCAGGGCATTGTGGGAGATCAACATGGCAGCTCCGTTGGAGCAATGGGTTGCCCAGGTGAGTCCACAAGCGAGGTCTACCTGTGGGTAGTTTGCCAAGAAGCTGGTCCTCGCTGTTTATATGACAGTCGTAAGGATCCCATAGATACCTGTCTCCAGGGGGCTTTCTCAGTGTGTGGCCCACCCACCGTCCCACCCACCCTAAATTGAGGCAAGTGTCCTTTCCGCTGTGGCATCCAGATTGTGGAATGCCATCGTGAGAGAGGGTCCATGTGGCACTGACTTTGTGGCCTTTTTAGTGGCAGGTGAAGATCTGACTATTCCAGGCATTTTAATCTTGCTTTTTATGCTGTTTTTAAAACCTTAGCCATATTTTTACATCGGTACGCTCCTGCTGGTTTTTACTGTGGCCATATGCTGTCGTTCTCAGCTTCTGAAAGTTTGATATTTGATATTACATTTTGGTGCTGCATTCTGTAATTTTCATTGTTGTGAGCCATCCACAGAGCTTTGCTTATGGGGTGTTACAGAAATGTAATTAAATAAATAACATAATAAGTAAGTGGAACAGAAACAACCTTAGGCTGTAAGTATGTAATTTAATGGAGATGAAGCTCAAAGACTTTGGCCACCTAATGAGAAGGAACCACTCACTGGAGAAGAACCTGATGCTGGGAACAATAGATGGGAAAAGAAGAAGGGGATGGCAGAGGTTGAGGTGGCTGGATGGGGTCACTGGGGCGGTGGGTGTGGGCTTGGGTGGACTCCGGGGGATGGTGGAGGACAGGAAGACCTGGAGGAATGTTGTCCATGGGGTTGTGATGGGTCGGGCATGACTTTGCGACTAAACAGCAACAAACAACATAGAGTTTAAATCTTTGGAAATACAGAGGGATGACTCTAACTAGAAAAACAGATAAATAGATAAAATGTTTGTTGTTGTTGTTACCATTAATATATTGGCTGGTTTGCTAAAAAGTCCTCCATGTGATAGACAGCAATTTAAAGCTATAAAAACCTTAATACAAGAAAAAACATGAAATGCATTAACACAACTAGACAATTTAAAAGTGATCCTTTGCCCTTAGATAGCACTTAGGGAGCCCTAGGATATTGTGGATTCCTAGGTCTAGGATCAGAAAAGCTGCCGGGAGCTGGGGACCTGGATGGCGATCCCTTTCCCCAAAGCAGCTGAGGTGGAAAGAGTTGTGTTGGTCGCTTCTCTAGAGTTGCAGAGCTCAGGGGCCGTGTGGAGGAAAGGAGAGCATCTTGGAAGTGCTCCAGCTGCCTTGCCTCGCCTGTAAAGAGCCTCAGCTTGGCAGGAGGACTGGAGTTCTGTAGCAGCCTGAGCTGCTGCGTGAATGGTGTGTGTTTTATCAGCGGCTTCCAGACCGGAATGAATAAGTGGCTCCCTGCCTCGGCTCCGTACAGCCTTGAAGCATGAAAAGAGCTTAACGGGAGTTGTGGGAGATGTGAGAGGGTCGCCATGTCCCTCCGGTCTATAATCCAGTCTGCTCTGATGGAAGGACTTTGGAGAGCCACCTGTGCCTAGCATTCCCCACCGATGCAAAGAACAAGTCTTTGCCCTTAATGCACGTTCTGTGCAGCCTTGTGATGTGGGGATTTATCATATAAGAACAGAACATGAAGGAATGTGCTGGATCAGACGTGGGTCCATTTGCGCCCTCACTCTGCTCCCACTGTGGACAGCCAGCTGCTCACAGGCTCCTACAAGCAGGGCTTTGGTGCAGCAGACCCCACCTCAAATTCCCCAGAACTGCTGCCCCTGGCTTACTGGGCCTCCACTGGAGCGGTATAGAGCCGTCAGGACTGGTAGCTGCAGAGAGCTTTCCCCTCCAGTCTGGAAGGTGTCCAGTCCCTGAAAGCTGCTTACATCTCGCGGAAGTGAATTCTCTAGTCTGACTGTGCAAAGAAGCCCTTCCTTTTATCTGCTCCAAATCTCCCACCAGTCAGCTTCACAGGACGATTCCAGGTTCTAGTATTACGGCGGAGAGAGAGAAACATCATCTGATCCACTTTCTCCTTACCGTGCATAATTCTGTATACCACAACCATGCGTCCCCGTCCTTGCCTTTTTTCGAAGCTAAACAATCTCAGCTGTTGCAAACTTTTCTCATAGTCGCCCTTTCTGCACTTTTCAGCTCTGCAAGATCCTTTTTTAGGTGCAGTGATGAGGACTACATAGCTTATTCTCAGGTCAGGGGCACGATAGATTTGTATAAGGGAGATACAGATTGGCATTTTTTCTCTTAACTTTGTTTCTTAATTATGTCTAACTCAATATGTGCCTTTTTCATAGCAGACCCACCCTGGGCTGGCATTTTCATGGATCCGTCCACCACGACCCCATGATCTCTGTTTTCCTCAGACACTGTTAGTTCTGGTTAACATCGGTTTATACTTGAAGCTGGGAGTTTTGGCTCCTGTGTGCATCACTTTATACTTGCTGACCTTGAACTGCAATTGCCATTTCAGTGCCGATTTTTTCAGTTTGGAGAGATCTGTTTGGAGCGCTTCACAATCCCTGTTTGCTTTAAACACTCTAAAGAAATATCACTGTTCTCTCCTAATTCCAAGTCTCAATTGAAATGTGCTTCTAGAACTGTGAGGAAACTAGTCATAGCTAGTGATGGTGAGAGATGTGTTCAGCTGTTTATATAAGAATGTAGCATTTATACGATCTATCTAAAGCTATTAATAAACTGAATCTCAGTTAAATGCAGCCATCTGCACATCATAAAAGCATGTGAAAATGCATCTGGAAATGTGTGTACAAAAATAGAGAAGCATAGAGAAGAAATGTTATATCAGAAGAAACTGTGCTTTAGATTAGAAAAAATTGTGCAAAAAGTATATAAATGTGTCCAAATTATGTGCATTTTATTTATCTATGCATTTATGTACCATGTTTCTTCTGTACCATTGCAGCTTTCTGGGTGGTTAACAAGAATTGAAATTAACCTATGGCAACACTATGAAAGTTTAAAAGTTGGAAACTACACTATAAAATGGAAATAGAAACCAAGAATCAGTGTTAAGATTAAAATGCAGTAGCAGATTTAAAACAGAAACTGAAATTTCATAATATCTGGGAGAATAGGAAGGTCTTCACCAACTGCCAGGAGGACACTGGGGCCAGGCGGGCCTTTCTGGGAAGCTTCTTCCACGACCAGGGAGCCAATGTGAAAAGGGTTCTCTGCTTAGCAGCCAAATACTTCACTTCCTTTAACAGGGTTTCTCACAGAAGGGCCACTGAGAAAGACCGTAGGTGTGTGGGAGCAAACAGTCATGGGAATACGGACACATCTTCATCCAGGATGACAATTAAGAAGGATGTCCTGGAGATGCAGGATAGAATGAATGGGTCAAAAACCAAGAAAATGGACTAAGTCAAGCTGGACAGGTTTGTCTGTTCCTAGCTACAGTGGACTAGATGATTGTGGAAGTGTTTGCCGGGTTGGTGATCATGTGGTTCTCAGCCCTCTGAGCGTGTCCATGTATGCATGCGTGTTTTTGTTTCTCCAGTTGACCATGTTGTTCCTGAGCCGGGCACCAGTTTGCTCTCTGCGTTTGATCAGTGGCGAGAATGGGCTGACAGCAAATCCTGCTGTGATTACTCGTTGCATGTGGATATCACAGAATGGCACAAAGGCGTTCAGGAGGAGATGGAGGCCTTGGTGAAGGATCACGGTAAGTCAGAGCGGGGCTCATGCTTTCTCAGTTCTTGTGGTTTTTCCAGGCTGCCGGAAGGCCAAGGCAAGATGTGCATCCTGGAAATTCTGTTTTCTGCATGCCCGGGATTGCTGTGTGTTTTGGGGAGAGGAGGTATTTCAGATCAGCGGGCCTGAAGGAAGAGTGATGGGATCAAAAATGCCAACTTAATTCACTTTATGGCTCTTGCTTTAGCAAGTAAGGCCCGGAGAGGGCCTTTCCGCCTATTAGAATGGGGGAAAATGGCACAAAAGCTGAGAAACAACCAAACCATTGGTGTTTAGGGGAGGGTTGAACCACAGAAAGAAATGTGGCCTCTGGAAGCGCAAAGGGCCTGCGTTTGGCTTGATCTGGAGGTTCTGTACATCTTATTTAAATAATATTTATGCTGTTTTCCCACCACTGCTTCCGTAAGCATGGGAGACACACACTGTCAAACAATACTTTAATAAAGTAGGATCTGCAACCCCATGCTGGCTTGTGGGGATTATGGGTGTGAAGGTCAGGTTGGAATCAAGCTCCCTGGCACTCCCTGGACTTCTTTCCCATGCTTGGCCCTGGCTGGGAAGCAACCTGAGTGAAGAGCAAGTCCGTTGACGCTTGGAAATGCTGGTGGATTCTTTGTGCAAAATACTGAGGACGCTGTTAGTATGGGTCAGGTAACAACAGCAACCAAACAAAGAAAATTCAGTCGTCACAGCAACTAATGAGTTAGCCAGATGTCCTCTGGGCTCCTTGGGCTTTTCACTGAGTGGGAAACAGTGGAAAGAACAGCTCCTGGTTGGTTCCAGGATGGAAAGGGCAAGTCCCGGGGACGACAGTCACGGAGGCTATCACTTCCCTTAATGCTTGTTTTTGGAGGCAAGGCAGTCTGACCATGTGACTGCACCCAAGTTAAAAGGATCATGTGCTGTTGAAGTGTAGATCCTCGCGCTGGCAACGCTAAATGGGCTGCTTACATTGGAGAAGTTGGTGCCTTTTCTTTCTTGGACTGTTGTGTCTCTTTTTCGGTAGCATCCAGAACGGGGGGCATTAGAGGTGCAGTGGGGCAGTGCTTGCGTGGATGATAGGCATGGCTGTTATGCCCGTTGCAACTAAAACTTTGATGTCCTTATGCATTTCCATTCCTCTGCCCAATAGGCGTGAACTCCTTCTTGGTGTACATGGCCTTCAAGGATCGCTTTCAGCTAACCGATTCTCAGGTATGCGAGGTTCTTGACTTTTGTCTCTTTGCTCCTTCCATACTCCCTCCCTCCCTCCTGCCTTCCTGCCTTCCTGCCTTCCTTTCCTCCCAGAAGGGACGGCTTTTCTGTCTCGTCACAGCATGCAGTACGCCGTCGTTGGCTGCGTGGACTCTGGATGTAACTGCAAGGGCATCTCATCTCTGAGCCTTGGCGACAGGCCAGATCAGTGGGCTGCTGCCGCCGCCTTCTAAAGGCGTCTCTGCCAGGGGATTTGGCAGGCGCTTGCCGCTCAGTGGGGGCAAGTGCTGCTCAAGCAACAAACAGCCTTTTAAGCCTTGCAGTGCTTGCGGTCAGGTGATGCTTTAGGAGTCTGGAGCTGAGAGCCTTCCAAATGTTCTGACCTGATACTCCCACCATCCCTTGCTGTTGCCTGTGCTGCAAGGGCTGATGGGAGTTGCAGGCCAGAACCGCTGGAGAACCACAGGTTGCTCACGCTTGGCCTAGAATGAGAAAGTAGCACATTAATTCGTTCATATATTAGATTTATATCCCACTTTTTTGTTTTTAAAGAATGCAACATGGATTCCATCATTCTCCTCTTGCTGCTCTCTATCTTAACTCCACAGCAGCCACCCTGTGAGGGAGGCTGGCCCAGGGGTCCGTGACTGGCTCAGCGGCACCAGGTTGGCTCCAGGGCTGAGTGAGGACTGGAACCCAGGTCTCCTGAGTCCCAGTCTGGCACCCTTAACCACTGCACCACACTGCCTCTCAGTGATCTTGATCTGTTTATCCTGTGGTATTGAATTCCCTCTTGTACATTTTATGGTGAATCTATTTATCATTATTATTAGATGATGCGCATTAAAGGCATGAGATCCAATTAAAGCAATACAAAATCTAACAATTGGCAATATTCCAGCAAGGCACACAGTAGCAGAATTGAAAACAATGTTAAAATCAATAGCCACTTAAATACCTGATTGAATCAAAATCAATTTATAGTCTACCTTTTTTTCTGAGGCAGAACTCAAAGCCGCTTACCGCATCCTTCTTCTCCTGTTCTCAAACTTATCCCCACAACAACAATCCTGTGGGGTAGGTTCAGCTGAGAGTCTGACCGGCCCAGAGTCACCCAGTTGGCTCCATGGCCAAGAGGGGGCTAGACCCAGATCCTCTGAGTCCCAGTCCCAGGCTCTTAACCACTTCCCCACACTGGCTGCCTTGTTCTTATTGGATGGTGGGGTCCATGCATTTGAGCTTTAGAAGTCGGTTCTCTTCATGTCATCTTGTCCTCCAGAGCAGGGTGAGAGACAGATCGGGGATTCTCAAAGTGGGGTTGGTGAGTGGCTTTTGGGGGATCTGCACTCAGGTTTATGGAACACATAAAAACGCTTCTACTTGGTCCTGCCTTTGATTTTCTTGCAATTGTTACTCTGATAATGAACATCATGGTTGTTTTGACCAGTGCTCTAGGTTTTTTTATTTTCTTAGAATGTATTCAGTTACACCAATACAGGGATCCTTCTCAAGCAATCTTGCCCAAGGCCAGTGATTTTTATAATATGCTGTTAGTATGAATGACAGAGCCAAAGAGAAGAGACACAATTAACATGTAAAGAGGGTATGTTGTTAACTCTAAACGCAAATATACAATGGTCTTCCCAGTCCACAAAAAGCAATTTTCAAGTCCTCTCTGTCTCTCTGCCTTTCTCTCAGTCTCTCTCTCTCTCTCTCTCTCTCTCTCTCTCTCTCTC